ACTCGGGAACTGAGAAAGCTGGGAACCTGGGATTTCAAGGGAATGTTCCCTGTCCAACTATAGCGTTGATAATTAACTTCCCGAAATTCGAGGACCGGTATGTACAAGAGGTTTGTAGCTAGCGGAATTTCGAGTGATCTTATTACAGCACGAAACACTACAAAAACGCATGATCGCACGAGCCTGCCGGTGCGCGTCGCCAATGATTTATTGTGTTATAGAAAGCTGATCTTGGTTGGGGTCCAAATGCCAGTTTTACATTTCCAAAGTATGGAGGAACGGGCGCCATTTGGAAAGCAATGACCGCGAAACTGCCATCAGAATGGTTCCATTTTGGATGCAAGTTAGGTTTTCCATTTGGCCAAGAGCATTTTTGTTAATAATCATCGATTATTAGGAATGAATTTAAAAAACTGTGCTCGCGCAGTTTTCTGAATTTTTAGACAGATATTTAGGGCAGTTGAAAAGGCATTGAGGGCACTCGTTACGTCTTGAAAAATGTCTTTAAAAACTGTTGGTTAATCATTTTACAGTGAAAGCAGTTATATTCTCTTGCTCTAATTTGCCACTCAATTACCTCCTTAATCGTCATGAAACTAATTTTAGCTTCTCCCGCCTACTTTTTAACGGAATCTACAAAACTCTGACAGGTTTGAAGAAAAACTTTGTGAGAAGGGAAGAATAAATTCGAGGGACAGAGGATACTGGACGAAAATAGGATTTAAATGTCCGAACTCTGGGAAACTAGATATAAACAAATGGTGCTAAAGCAGTGCTGCTTTGCTCAAAAAGCCAAATTTACAAGGCAGTTCATTTCTGAACTAAAGTCTCGGCAAGTTCGTTAATACTCACACGAATCCGAGAAATTGCAAGGAAAAAGGAGAAATACATGAGTGATTCACTACGGAACCGAAGCGAATATTTGAAGAATAAAGTATCCTGGGAATTCAAAATAACTTTTATCAAAATACCACCAATCCACGGGAGGAAATTTCAAACACACAAACTCAGATTGCAAAACCAATTGCAGGTGACTGGCATCGACGCGACGGCCAAATCTGTTACTTATGAGAATGAACAAAATGGAATGACGCGGCAAAATGAACTCGTTTACGATGTACTGATCAATACGGGACCCATTGATCGGCTTATCAAATACACAAAATTGTGTCGCGAAATTGACTTACAACACAACAAAGTAAGGTCGATTAGAAGCTTTCTTATGCATAACGCATGAGCTTTTGTCAGTTTTCAAGCGTTTCAGCATTTTTATTGCAAATGCAAAATGCATACTTGCAAGAAGTTGCCCCTGAATGCGCTTGTTAGCATTGTGTTACACACTTTCCATTCAGCGGCGAGAAGCTAGGAAACTTTGGAATATGCTCGCATCCCATGTGCGTCCCTTCTGTTATGCGTTTTCGCGTATACGCAGATGCAACCCAGGTTGTTACTGTTATTACATTTTCCGTATGAAGAGCAGTAGGAGTTTAGCGCTAATGCTGGCTACTACACAAAATTTCAAGCACAACCATTTTTTAGCAGTTCAACCACTGCGCATCTGGAAACGGTTTTTCTATCGAGCATAAAAAATGTACGTCTGCGCTTTGAAATTTCTCAAAAAAACATAATAATGAGTCGGTAAAAATTTAGTGCTGTTTCAGGTAGTCGTCGTAGGTGTTGGCCTGAAAAAACCTGTGAATCCGTACATAGAGCAGTATACGTGGCTATACTTTCCGGAGAAATCAGTTCCGTTCTATCGCCTCACTTTTCTCTCGCAATATGGAGAAATGACTCCTGACAGTAGTAAGTATTGGTCTGTAATGTGCGAATGTGCTCGGGCTCGTGACGATGAGCAGGTTAGTTAAGTTTTTGCGTGCAGAATCCATTTTTTGCGTTATTCGCATTCGGAGCAAACAGACATACGATGGAAGCACCTTCTAGTCGTGTAATGGGCGCAGTGTTTTGCTGCAAACATCTGAAAATAGTGCGGCTCTAACACCAACTTGTATATGTCTTAATGGTTTTTCTGATTATTTTTTAATATGTTTTATTGTCATTGATGTCTTTATTGAAGAGCTTATCTAATTACAAAATTTAAGATCCGAAATCTCATAACTGACTAATAAAGGCATCATCGCGATCGTGGTTGGCGCGAATGTACTTCATTATTCTTGCTGTTAGCGATCTGACTGCTTCAAGTTTAGCACGAACCCGCACCGATAAGCTAGTGGGTGGCAGCCTGGCTTTAATTTTTCATAAAATTTTTGGGCAAGTATATAAGCATGCTTGCTCTATAACGAGTTATCATTGCACTGCACGAAAATTCACTGAAAGCACGCTACTGACTTACGGCTTCTGATCTCCCCGTCTTCTGCCTAACAGGTCCTGGAAGCTGTCCAAGACCACTTGTGTATTCACCAGTTAGTAGGGCGAAGGTGATTTTGCAGTTAATATTGCGTTTTACTGAAACTACTTCTAAAGGATCTGCAAAGGCGATCTTACTGGTTGGTGAACAAATGCGTGGTTAGGGTGGCTGGACTGCATTCCAAGATGAATAAAAAATTGGTCAGTAAATCATTCGCTTTGGAGATGTTTCTCATCATTAGCGATTTTTACATGAACTTCTGAAGAGGTCTTCATTTTAGGATACAGAAGATGCGATAACTGAGCAAACAGTCGAGGGTTTGATTCGAAAATCAATTATCACACGCGAACAAATCGTTAGCGTGTTTTCGACATACTTGCCATACGGATATCCTATACCAAGTGTCAATGTTGGTTTTCTTTATTCGTCCTGCATCATAGCACACCTTCACAACCAAATTAAAGACGTTCTACTGGTACTGCCATGTACTAGGGTGTAATAATTGCCTTCATTTTGCTTCTATGTACTACTCCGAAGAGGAACCATCGTTAGCTTTGGCAGTGGGTGTTCGCTATTCCCATACGTTTGAGTGATTCCGTTTTCATTGAAAAGGGAACTATGAAGGAATCCTAACTTCCACGTATATCAGACTGAGAAGAATAAGCCGGTGTCTTTGATTCATCTTACTCAATATATTTGCTGAAAGTCGGATACGAAAAATGATCGTAGACGAAAGTGAAAAAAAAGTTGTATACGCTGTTGAACAGAACGAGTGACGGTTTGGGTTGAGGTACCCTTTTTTGTTCACACTTCAGTGCAATGATTAGCCGTTATTTCATCGAAATGCTTTTGTGCGCCACCAACGCATCTGCCAGTCTCGCCTTAATTCATTGCAACCGAAGCCGCAGTTCTCTTACTCGGGGAAAGAACATGCGCTAATATTTCATAACAGTGGCAGAAGGCCAAACCCGTCGGCTGCTTCGCTGGTAACTTGAGCTGTCGCATATCTGATAGTACTAATTGATGGTCAAATAGAGATTTATGAATTGGTGTGCGTACATAATGCATACATAATGCTTGGCGTATCAGTTTCAGTTTATTTGCATTCAACTGCCCTTTCGGGCAATGTTCGCTGAAATTGAATCGATAAAAAAATTGCGGAAAATTTAACTCGAAAACGTTTTCGATTTTTAAATCAAACCCAGGTAGCAAGACATACTAGGGTTTCCGGTTGTGCACTTTAGAGCTAAATTTGAAAGAAGTAGACTGCTAATAATTTGGATGGTTATTACTTTGTAAGAACTAATGTTAGCTATATTTTAGTCTGTTTCGCCATCTGTACAGGCCTAACATCTTTTGTGAACTGTAGCCATCCTCATCGAGACTATGGGTGAACGAGCCATCTGGACAGTTACACCTATACGCTACCGTTTCCTAGAACCGCGGCTAAAAAGATTTAGCGCTGAGCATTTCTTCGTTCACTTGCCGTTACAAGGGCTCGACTGGGACATCAATGTTGCATAATGAGATCGCGTGAAATTCGAACATTCAAGGTGCATGATTGCCGTAAAGTTTTTATGAAAAAAATTTGCTGCCATCGGTCGTTCACTAAAAATACAAACTGAACAATGAACAAGAGGATGTCTAGAGAGAAGGATGACGGGACCCGAGTTGAAGAGTTTCCGCCAGAATTTTAACATGCTCGTACGTGAAGCGCAGGTGCACACCTTAGGCAATTAGGAACAGGATCTGAAGTGTCGCGCATGTACAGGCGGCATCCTTCTACAAATCAGCTTTTTATCTTGCCTGATTCTTGAGTTGGAAAATTTCCCACTAAAACTTTCACGTGTTCATGCGTGAAACCTAAGCATTTTGGGAAATGGATTTGAAATCTTTAAGTCGCACGTGAACAGAGAACATCCTTCCAAAATTTCAGCTTTACTTGATTGCTGAATTGAAGTATCGGGATAGACGCACACACACATAAATATACATACATGCATATACACACACACGTGCATACACATGATGGATCGTTTTAATGTGCGCTTTTGCTGGCTACTGCAGCGCTATAGCGCTGCACCGCAAAAACGCCTAAGTAGTCCAAACAGCCATTTCCTTTTCAATGCTACTGCTTGACAATTTCTGGGGATGTGTGTTTAGAAACACTCGAATTCGTAAACTGTTTCAGAGAGATGCTGAACTTGCACGCGCACATCATGCTCTCGAAAATCATCACATCTATTCAAGAGGGCGTTTCGGTGGCTGGAAGTATGAAACATCAAATCAGGACCACTGCTTCATCCAAGGGAAAGAAATCATTGATAGGCTTTTACTGAATGAGCCTGAAAAGGTTTACAAAACTGGGCTGCCCACTTATCAAGGATAATTTAGGCAGAATTTCGAGGAAACCTCGCTTGTATTTGCCCCATGAATTCCCCATTTAGGTATCTAATTTTCTCTTCTACCATTTCCTTATGTCACCATTAGACAAAAAACTTTTCCTGTTTGGTTTTGTTATAATTTCCGTCTCTAAAATCATGGTATAACAAAGTTAGGAATGGTTCTTTGCCCAACGAGCCTGTCGCTGCATAAAGTAAAAATATGTGTATTTATGTGTTAGAAAGCAGCAGTGTGCAAATAGCTGCTTCTAAGGTCTAAATTTTTAGACAACTGCTTCTTAGACCGCCAAGTCTTGTATGATGACCTTTCAAGATTCTTCATAGAAACATCTAAGCATTCAGTACTAATCTACACCAGACATGAACAAACAGTTATCATTTGTCGAAATGTAATGTGAAAACGGTGTTTAACGGTTGAACATAACATGTCGTTAATGAAGAGATCAGGGAAGTGGGCTCTTATGTTTTCTACGTAAAATCACTCATAGCAATTTACTGTGTTGTTGCGAGAGCACATTTCCCGGATCAAACATAAAATGCCAAGAATTTCTGGATAAAATGAAGAAAAATTTATTGATCCAATGATTATTACAACTTACGATGAAACACTCAGTTCACTGAATGGTTCACTTAAAAAATGTCACTTAAAATAAAGAAACTGCGCACAGTGTTTCTCTTGCCAGTTTTTTGTTGCTGTATGTAGATAGTATGCTTACATTTATATCCACATAGCCAGCATTTATGAACCTGTATGTTTGTTGCGGTGTGGGTTTGTATCCAATATTTTTCCATCATCTCCTTGATTATTGCTGTTGTTATTGTTATTACGTCTTTCCTGCAGCAGCTTCATCTTTTTGCGTGAACTACCAGCCCGAGAAGCGCGTTTCTCACGTTTTGCTAGAATTGCAAACATAAATTTTATACACTTCATATCAATAATATAATAATTGGCCAACGCACGGGCTGCCCGTGCGAAGATGCGTTTTTTGCATGGTTTCCCACAGTTTTTGTTGCTACTGGCACCGATTTTTTCGGCAAATGCTTCTAGCTAAACAAATTAAGACTGGCCACCAGAACT